AGGGCCCAGGTGCCTCGGCTTCAGCATCAACGTGGATGCCTCAGGGCAAGAGCAGGAGACACGTACTGGGGAGGGCTCAAGGCACCGCTGGGTTGTACCCGCACGAAGTGAGCTGAAGCACGGAAGTTCTGTCATCCCAGCAACAGCTGGAACAGAACACGCAGCTCTGTCATCCTTACAATCAGCTGCAGAGCCCGACTGCAGAGCAGTTTGCCCTGGAGCCACAGGAGATGAGTCTCCTTAAAAACTGCCATACAGCTCCCCATGGCGTATCCTGAGGTTGGCCGTGGGCTACCCTGAGCCTATCACCTTCTTTCCATCAGGGTTTCCATTGCCGTTCATAAAAAGCTCGCCTGTTCCACATGTCTCATAATTATCATTGCCCCCAAGACCCATCACAGGCTACAGACATTCCATCTCCCAGCAGAATGTCACCTCCCACCTGCACCTCACCCCATTTAACCACAGATGAAAACCTCAGGAATTTCGATGCCTCTCTGTGCCGAGGGTGACCACCACCCACTTTCCATAGCAAGTGTCCTTATTGCCATCAGACCAATAGGTAATTCAATTTCACAATCCTACACTGAGAGTCTTCTTTTAAGGGCCACCCTTGGGACCAATTGTCTTCAGGGGCAAGTGTTGAGGTGTGGCCGCGAGGTGAGGTGTGGAGGATTGTTTCTGTGTGAAGTCAGCAGGGTTGGTCATCACCGAGGGGCTAGGACAGGACGGGTCAAAGGCCCCAGAGGCATGTGAGGACCAGAGGTTCTGATGTGGCCTGGAGAGATGTCTGCTACAAAGGCGTATCATAGATTTTCTTTCCCAGCAAGGCTTGTCCTATTTGCATTTATTGATGTAATGTGATGGATAGCTTTAGCTCTCCTTCTGGCATCTTATTTTATATTATGCTTGCTCTCTTCACTGCGTCCTTTGTTTTGCATCTTTTGCTCTGCGGTGTGTCTGTGTGTTTTCTTCAGGTGATTTCACTGCATTTGTGGCAATTTGGCCCTCTCTTTCTTCCGGAACCAGCAGACTTTGTCAAGACAAGATGTGTCAGATATGCTAAGATGTGTTGTGAGGCATAAAATCTAAGACTACACACACAGGCACTTCTTGTTGGTTTTACTGTTGTCTGTTTCTGCTCTACAGAAATCCTGGTAAATTCAGTTTTGTCCCATGCACACCAAAAGAGGAAAAAAAAGGTTGGTGGGTTTACAGTGACATGTGCGGCTTTAGTGAGAACATTCCTGAGTAAACGTCCATTTTGACTAAGGTTAATAAGAACCAATCCTCTGCTTACGGTTTTACCTGTCTGGTGAGTAGGAGAATTTTCTACACACTAGCTTCCGGTTCCTTATGTTCCACAGTTTGGTCCTTGTCCTCTCCCCACGCGGTCTCAGTGCCAGGCGCTGCAGCACAAATTTCTACTGTGATGGGACCCCTTGTCCTGCACCTTTGAGCCCTCCCCTAGGTGAGTTGGCACAGAGGCTGGTAGGGCCCTCCTATACCAGGACAGCTTGCAAAAACTGAATGATAGTGGGAAAGACTACAGACCCCATAAATCTATTCCACAAAGCCCAAACTAAATGTATCTCATGTCAGCTGTTCTCTCATTCAGGTCCATTGCAATATCATCTGATGTGAGGCAAAGGAAAATTCAGGCAAAAAAAAAAAAAAAAAAAAGATATTGGTCTGAACTGACTATACCAAAAACTGTCCCACCTGTGAAAATTTTGTAAAAGCATATGCCCATATAAACATAATGTTTGGGGCCCTCAACCCTGTCCTCAAAAGGGGCCGTTGAACTGAGGGGCCCAAAGCTTAAGCTGTCTCCATGTTGTACCTCATGGTTTATAATTTAATATAGAAACATCAGTAACCTACAAATAGGTATAAGGAAGTCCAACAAAGTTCTGGTCTTTTCCCCAGGATGATTGGTGCTCTTTAGGAGATAAATATGTTTAAAAAATGTTTTCTTGTTCTTTTAGCTTCCTGTCTTGCTGGTGCCTGGTCTACCAGTTGTACTGATGGGGTGAAGTCATGGAGCCCAGTAAGCAAGGGATTACTCTTCTCAGAAAAGAATTTACAGCCATGCTGTCCCATAGAACTTTCTGCAATGATGGAAGTGTCCTGTGTCTGGGCTGTCCAAAATGGCAGCCACTAGCCACATGTTGCTAGCTATGAAGCCCTTGAAAGGTGGCTGGTGAGACGGAATAATTGAAGTTTACTTAGGTTTAATTAATTAAAACTAAAATTAAAATAGCCATATGTAGCTAGTAGCTGCCACATAAAGCAGTGGAGATTTGAATCCATTGGAGCGGGAAGTTGACAGATAGGGGGGCACACCAGCCATGTGGTTGCAACCAGCCTGGGGTTTTTTGTTTGTTTTTCAAACCATTTTATTGAGGCATAATTGACACACAAATCGCTGTACATATTTAATGTATACAACTTGATGAGTTTGGAGATAAGTACACACCCAAAAAACCATCACCAAAATCTATGCCATAAACATACCCATTGCCTCCAAAAGTTTATTTATTACTATTATTATTTTATGCGTGTGATAAGAACACTTAACATGAGATTTACCCTCTTAAGCGTGCTTGGGTGGCTCAGTTGATTAATCGTCTGCCTTCGGCTCAGGTCATGATCCCAGGGTCCTGAGATCGCGTCCTGCATTGGGCTCCATGCTCAGCGAGGAATCTGCTTCTCCCTCTCTCTCTGCCCCCCTCCTTGCTTATGAGCTGTCTCTCTCTCAAATAAATAAATAAAATCTTAAAAAAAAAATTTAAAAAAAGATTTACCCTCTTAGTAAATTTTTAAGTACATAAATCAATATTAACTATAGGCACTATACTGTAGAGTAGATCTCTAGGTCTTTATTCATCTTGTATACCTGAAACTTTGTACCCCTTTGACTTCTACCTCCCCATTTCCCCCTCCCCCCAGCCCCTGACAACCACCGTTCTATTCTCTGCTTCTGTGAGTTTGACTATTTTAGATTCCCCATGTAAATGAGATCATGCAGTATTTGTCTTCCCGTGTCTGGTTTCTTTCACTTTCAGGTTCATCCTTGTTGTTACAAATGGCAGGACTTCCTTCCTTTTTTTTAAAGGCTGAATAATATTCCATTGTATGTATATACCACATTTCCTCCCCCATCTATCCATTGATGAACATTTAAATTGCTTCCATGTCTTGGCTATTGTGAACAACGCTGCAAGGAACATAGGAGGGCAGGCATCCTTTTGAGATCCTGGTTTCAGTTCCTTTGGATGTACACCCAGAAGTGTGATTGCTGGATAATATGGTGGTTCTATTTTTAATTTCTTGAGAAAGTTCCATATTGTTTTCCACAGTGGCTGCACCAGTTTACATCCCTACCAACAGTGTATCAATGTTCCCTTTTCTCTACATCCTAATACTTATCTTTTGTCTTTTGATACTAGCCATCCTAACAGGTGTGAGATGAGATCTCATTGTGGTTTTGGTTTGCATTTCCCTGATGATTAGTGATGCTGAGCAGCTTTTCACGGAGCTGTTGGCCATGTGTATGTCTTCTCTGGAGAGATATCTATATAGTTCCTTTGTCCATTTTTAAATCAGATTATTTGTTTTTTTGCTATTATGTTGTAGGAGTTCCTTAAATCAACTAGGGAGTTGTTTTTTTTTTTTTTTAAGACTTTATTTATTTATTTGAGAGAGAGAGAACACATGAGAGGGGATAGGGTCGGAGGGCAAAGCAGACTCCCTGCTGAGCAGGGAGCCCGATGCGGGACTCGATCCAGGGACTCCAGGATCATGACCTGAGCCTTCCGAAGGCAGTCGCTTTAACCAACTGAGCCACCCAGGCGCCCCACAACTAGGGAGTTTTGAAGAGAGAAAGCCCAAAGATAGTTCTGCTCAGAGCCCACTAGGGCTCTTGTCCTTCTCTCTCAGACTTTCTGGAACAGCCAGGTAGGCCAGACTGAGGAGGGAGGAGGGGAGGTAACTAAGCCATTTGACACAATGCCTAGGACCCATGAAAATGTTTTAATTTCTTTAAAAAATTAGAAGAAGAAAAGAATTTTTAGGCTGAAGAAAATGTTTTAATATATAATATTAATGTATTCATCTTTATGTCAACCCACCCATAAAATATAATTAAAAAAAATTTTTTTTTAATCAAGGAAGGAACCCTTGAAAACAAGTGTGTAGGACCCACCAAAGTCTTAATGTGTGTGTGGGGAGAGGGTGTTTCTTCTACCACTGACAGCTCATCTTGGACTCCCAGGTATCTAACTGGCCACCTCCCCTTTGAATGCTCCCCCAGAGGCCACAGATGGGTCTAAGAGAACCAAGGTTCTCCAACAATCCCAGGGTCAGAACAGACTCCTGCACCCAGGCTTAGAAAATGCCCCTCTACACTGTTACATACTTGGGCAAAGGGCAGTAGGGAGCTGGGGAGGGGTTCAAGAACTGTGTGGGAAGGCAGAGAGGGGAAATACTATGTTCTAGAGTGAGTTTAGGAATCGTTACCACGCCTCTGATGCTGACCCCATAGAGGAGGAAGCATGGGTTCAGAGAGGTTGAGACACTTGCTCATACTCACACAGCTGGGATTTAAACCTTAATAAGTCCTTGATCTGACACCCAAGCCTAGGCACAGATCCCTGGAACCCCTTCCTCAGCCACTGGGGGACCTTGGGCAAAGCATAAAGAGCAGTTTCTGTGCGGACCACCCCGCCATCCCTGAAGACTGTTCCCTTTTCTCCATTCCTGCTCCTTCCAGAGCTGATCCTGTAGGATCTCTGGGCCTCAATTTCCCCTTTGTGCGTGTGTTGGGGCGGGGGTCTCCCTCTAGTAACCAGAAAGGGAGGGAAAGGGGAGGACTTGGCTCCCCCCACGCCCACAACGAGGCCCCAGCTGCGGCGGGTCTTCCCGGAAGCCCACCTCCCGCGCGCGCCGTCCCGCGGCAGGAATGGGGCTCGGCCCCTTTAAACCCCGCCCGGGCCGGCCGGGCCCGGACCGCGCCCTTCCCGGATCCGCGCCTGGGAATCGCTGCCCGGCGCGCGCCCCCCGCGCCCAGCCCGAGACCCCGCGCGCCGCCGACCAGCGCCAGGCCCGCGGGCACAGCGGCCGTGCGCATCATGAGCCGCATCTACCACGACTGCGCCCTCCGGAACAAGGCGGTGCGGAGCGCGCGGCTGCCGGGGGCCTGGGACCCCGCCGTCCACCAGGGGTAGGCCCGCCGCGCTTGCCCCCGCCTCTCCGACCCCCTGGGCCGGCCCTCCGGCCCCGGCTTGGAACCCGGGCTCCGGGATTGGGGAGGGGACCGCGGTCCGGGGGCGGGTGGGAGGGAAGGACCTGGCCACAGCTACCCCCCCACCCCACCCCAACGCTCCCCTGCGCCCTGCAGCCGGAGCGCACCCCCTAAAACACAGATAGGCTTAAATCTCCCCCACTGCACCCCCCCCTCCCCGTACCCTCCCCGACGCCTACACGGAGCTCAAAAGCACCGACCTTTGTCTCAACCCCACCCCAGCCGTGACTCTGAACTCCAGCCACTTGCCTCGGCGCCCTGCCCGCAGGCCTTGGCACAGGCCGCCCCGCTTCCCGCCCCGGAAGGGAGGACGTCGTGCAGTGACCACAAGAGCGTGGGGCAGTTGGCTTGGCGTGGCCGTGGGAGGGCAGTGCCTGCCTGGAGGCGCGTGTGGGCTCGGGATGGGGGGGTGGCTGTCGCAGGGAGGTTGTGAGAACAAATGGACCATTCCATTTGCAGTTAGAAACGCAAGAATTTGGAGGTGAGGCGGTGGGTAGGGTAAGTAAAGTAGAGCGAGTTTCCATTTTCATGCCCATCCTTTCATGTCCCCACCCCTCTCTCATTTCTGTGGCTCTAAAAAGGGAAGCCTCTGGTTCTGCTTTTTATGAGAACTAGGAGCGGGAAGCGGGGATCTAGTTCCTCTCGGCGAGGGACCCGGCGATCTTGGGACTAGTCATAAAACTTTTTTTTTTTTAAGATTTTATTTATTTATTTGAGAGAGAGAATGAGAGACAGAGAGCACGAGAGGGAGGAGGGTCAGAGGGAGAAGCAGACTCCCCGCCGAGCAGGGAGCCCGATGCGGGACTCGATGCGGGACTCGATCCCGGGACTCCAGGATCATGACCTGAGCCGAAGGCAGTTGCTTAACCAACTGAGCCACCCAGGCGCCCTAGTCACAAAACTTCTAAGTTTGGGTTTTCCCGCCATTAAGTGGGTATGAATGAGGAGAAGAATGGAAAGTGTTTTAAAACAGGTGGAAAAAAAACAGGTGAAAAAGGAAGATACTTTATTAGCACCTTAGAGCCCTCCCTCAAATTTGGCTAAATAAAAAAGTAAAATCCTTTCTATTTAGTAAGCACTTAATAGTTTACAAACACCTTCACTTACACGATTTATGCTGTCATCATCAAGGAGCAGTGAGGTGGCTGTTACTCTACCATTTTGTAGATAAGAAGACCGAGGCTCTGCTTATAGTAAGCCCTTGTGGGAGGGGCCACAGCTTGGTCTTGCAGCCTGAGGCGTCCCCCCTACCCTCTGTGCAGAGCCCCAGCCTTTGGAACCCTCGGAGAAATGGAGGAATGGAGGCCCCATGTGGGAAGCACAAAGAAAATCATTCAGTACCAGGCCTGCTGGCGGGGGGGGGGGGGGGGGGGGGGGGGGGGCGGCGGCCAGGTGACTAGCAGATGCTTGTGGGCCCTGCTTTTGTCCCAGCGCAGACTCTGGCCTGGGCCGTTGAACTTGTGGTTCTTCCCTGAGGACTGACAGAAGCAGCGGATCCTTTCTTTCTCTCACATCCCCAGGGGAAACGGCGTCCTGCTGGAGGGAGAACTGGTAGATGTGTCTCGCCACCGCATCTTGGATGCCCGTGACAGGAAGGTGAGGATGCCTCCCCGGGGACACCCGCAGGGCACTGGCTTCCCGGTCCTCAGCCACCAAGCCATCTCCCTGTGCTTGGATCTGCCAGTGCCCAGACTTGGGGTGCAGCTCATTCCTGGAGGGGCTTGTAGGGCAGGTGGGGGGTGGGTGGGGAGATAGCAGCCCAAAGGGGCCACTGGGTGGGAAGGGGTCAACTGGGACTGTGCTGGGCGGAGGACAAGAGGGCAGGACCTGGCTTCTTGCTGACAAGACAGACCAGCCCTAACTCCAGTGGCGTGCTTGGGGCTGGATTGGGAGGGTGAGAGCAGAAGGGGTGAGGTGACTGGTTTGGGGCTGAAGCTGTGTGTGAGCTGGAAGGCACTGTGAAGAGGTCCTGTTGCCTTCTGTTTAGAGTGCTGGGAGCCTTGCTGGGTGGGCAGGAAGAATGGCTCTTTATTCTGGGGAGGGCCGAGGGCCCAGATTCCTGGCTTCTGGTCTGGTGGTTCCTGCTGCCCGAGGGCCTGGTGGACAAGGTCAGAGCGGGTTAGCAGCCTGTGCGGGTATGACGGGGTCAGCAGTGACCTTCCCCTTTCTAAGTAACAGGTCTGTTCCTGGGAGGTCTCATGTCCTTGGAATTTTTTGGATTGCATTATTTTAAATGTACTGGTGGAATTTGCTTTTAGAAGGAGCCTTGAAGTTCTCCCTTTGCAAAGTGGAAAGTGGTGAATCTCTTGGCATGGGCTCTCTCGTCTTTGAATACCACTGTGTGTGGCTGGGCACTTTGGGTTTCTGGGACCTCCTCGTGCATTACAGGTGGGGACCTTGGGGTGGGAGGTGGGTTGCTGTGTGCAGGGCCTTTGTCCAGCCTACAGTCTGTGTTGTTGACCCTGCCGGGGGCTGCATCTCCCGTGTCTGCACGCCTTCTTCCCTTGTGCTCTCACGCCCCTGGGGTCATGCCGTCTGTCACCCCGCCATCTCAGCTGTGCACAGACACACCTCTGCTTGCCCGTGTCGCTTTCCCGAGCACTAGTTCTGAATTTCCATCCTCTTCCATACAGCCCCACTCTGGTGTGCTGACCACCTTAGCTCCTTGGTCTCTAAGGCCGAGCTCATCTCCTTGCCACTGAGGCAGGCCAGAGGCCTGGTGCTACTCAGAGCCTGTTGCTGTTCTGCGGCCCAGGGGAGAGCCTCTGCTCGCCTACCCCCTCCTTAGTGTGCAAAGTCAGCAGCGTAGACAACCAATCCAGACGCCCCAGCCAGCCTGCCCAGCAGAGCCAACACTAGTAACTCCAGCCTGATGTGGGGCTCTCTTAGCCCGGCCCGAACTTGCCTCCTCTGAGTTCCTCCTTCCTCGTGATAAGGCAATAGACCTCCCAGCCGCTGGTCACAGGCCTGCAAGCCCCCACTGTCTCTTCCTCCCCTCTCCCCGAGGCCAGCCGTGCCTGGCCTGTTGGCCTGCTCCCTTGGCCATCCCTTCCCTGGCCCTTCCCTTCCTCTTTCCACTGGCCTCACGTGGGCCTCAGAACTTCGCCTGTCCTCATCAAACTTGCACCTGCCCCTCCTTCCTTCTGGCTGCCCCCAGCGCTCATCCTTGCCCTGCAGCCAGCTTGTTTTCCGAAAGGCATCTCTGAGGATCTCGCTGCTGCTGAGAAACCTTTGGGGATTCCTTCTTGTCTACCAGATCAAGTCCAAACTCCAAGTACCAGCTCAAGGCCCATCTCAAACTGATCCTACTTGCATTCTCAGCCTGGGTGCCCATGAGGCCTCTGCATGCCCTGCGTTGCTCAGACACGCGCATGGGGACCTTGACTTTGATTTCGTACCTGTCCCAGGCTTTGAATAGTCTCCCTACACCCTTTCCCCCCCGCAGTCGTAGGTCTCTCCAGCCTTGGAGACCTTGCCTTTTCTGTTTCTCCTAGGAGGTGGATTCCTCTTCTTCAGTCTCTGGGAGTGTGTCGTCCACCTGCTTGCATTAGAGTAGCTGGCAAACAGCGTGGGCCAGCTCGCTCCATGTCTCCCACTGTGCTTGCTCCTCTATCCTCTCATTGAACCTTTACAGCACTCCTGAAAGTAGACAGCACGTTGTCCCCCTGCCCCAGTGGAAACTGAGGCTAGGAGGGATTTGCTTCAGGTCCCACATGTGTTGGAAGAGGCACAATGGCCGCCCTCACTCAGAACCCTTACACAGCCCTTTCCATGACACTTTGGCTTCTTTCACTCCTGCTTCACAGTATTTGGGGTCCTTGGTGCTTGGGTTATGGTTTTGTGTCTGTGTTTTCTGTCTCTGGCTGGGTGGAGACCGTGGGGTCAGGCCCGGGGCCTGCCGCCTCATGGCTGTCTACGTGGTTCATTTTGTGTGGCAGGTGCTGTACTAAGCACACGATTGGATGAATGAATGAATATTGGCCGGGGTGGGGGGGGTGCATCTGCCCAGCTTGAATATCTTTTGGCGCTGAGGTGGGATTCAGGGTGGAGGGAGAGGTTGGGGGGGCGGTTTGCAGTGGAGCCCTGTGGGAGTGTGTGTGTTGGAGGATGGGGGGAGCGAAGCACCCCCCTCACTCTCTCTCCGGCCCCAGGAGCACTACTATGTGCTGTACATCAGGCCCAGTCGCATCCATCGCCGGAAGTTCGACCCCAAGGGAAATGAAATCGAGCCCAACTTCAGCGCCACCAGGAAGGTGAACACGGGCTTCCTCATGTCATCCTACAGTAGGTATCCTCCATCCTTCCTCCCTCAGGGCCTCCTGACCCTGTGGCCTTTCTGTGTCTCTAGGGGTCTCGTGGCCCCTAGTGAGTGTCTTAGTTGTGGTTGGCCTTGAAGCCCATGTCTGGCCTGAGGGACCCTGACTGGACTCCTTCCTGCCCCCCCATTCACTCAGAGGATCCCCAGTGCCCCACCTTAATCCCCAGGGCCTGGCTGGCCTTCCACCTCCTGCCGACTCCTGCAGTCCGGGCAGAGTCGTCCATGTACCCGGCTCTGGGCTCTCACTGCCCTTGTGCAGAGCCTCCTTTTTCCCTCCCAAATTCCCATGTGATTCTTAGGCCCTTGGTGACTTCATTCCTCTTGCCACCAGGAAAGAGGGGGGACCAGCAGGCCTGTTAGGAGGCTGTGATGGCCGGATTAAGGGCCTGTCGGTGAGGATGGAGAGACTGGACAGATTGGAGACAGAGGAGGGACAGTGGCCTCAGTGTTTGGAGACGGGGAGAGTGAGGGAGGAGTCAGGGATGACCCTGGGGTTTGGGCTTGGCTGCAGGTGTGGGGAGAAGAGTTCTGTCTGGGACGTGTGGTCGCACTTCCGGGGAGAGGTCAATGTCCACTGGGGCCTTGGGGACACAGTTCTAGAACCCAGGAAGTGGGCTGGGCTGGAGGCACATGTTTAGGAGTCATGACACACTGCTGGTACTGAAGCTATAAAAGAGGATGGAGTCGCCCAGGAGGCCATCTTGGGGAAGAGCAACCACAGGAGAACAGGGAAGGAGCCTGTAAGGGGCAGGAGAAGGGACCCCTGCAGAGGGCTGAGGAAGAGGGGAGCCTGTGTGTCTCCGAGGCTCAGTGAAGGTGGGGGGTGGAATATGAGGGAGAGGTAGCAATGGGGTCAGGTGCTATCTCGGGCCCAGTAAAGTGGGGACTGCGGAGCCTCTGGCAGGCTCACAATGAAGAGCCTCCCAGTGACCCCGGTCAGGGTGGGAGTGGGGGTGGGGGGCGTCTGAAGTAGTGGGTGTCAAAGCCAGAATTCAGGAGGGCATTAAGGAAAGATCCAGTATGGAGAAGGAGAGCCAGGTCCCCGAGGAGGGGGAGGGGGTGGGATCTGGAGCCCAGATGGAGGAACTGGCTTGAGGCGGGAGGGGGACCCGTGGTCCTTTGAGACAGAAACAGAAGAGAAGGAGGAGAGGTTTCATGTGCTTATTGGTAAATTGACAGGTGGCGGCAGGGGGTGAGTAGCCCCACCTCTGGCTTCTGCTATCTCGGGAAGTGGAGGTGAGGAGGTTTGTCTGAGGGACGTTAAGCAGGGCGAGGGCTGAGCAGAAGGGATCAGTTCAAAAGCCCTTGGTGGGAGTGAGGCATCTGGGGAACCCCAGAAAGCATCCCTGACAGAGCTTGGAGGTTTTACACCCTGACGGAAGGGGGTGTGGGCTCCCTGGGCTGGCTGGCTGCTCTCCAGCAGAGCCCTGCCCCCGGCTGCTGGTGTGGAGAGGACCACCTGCAGGACCGTTTGGGGTTGCTGAGCTGGGGGGTCGCTGTGCACACGTTCATGAGGTCTCGGGGCCTTGTGAGTCCTCCTGGCCCTGCAAGTCCTCACTGCTCAGTCTGGGACACCGCTGCCCACCCCCTGGTCCCCAACCCGGGATCTGCAGATTTGGGACATTTGGGGCAGGCAGGTGAGGCTATTGGAATCCTCCCTGAGCCCCGAGCTTTGCCAGGATGGGGATGAGCAGGCCGAGGAGGAGTATGGGGATCACCACCATTTGCTGCTCATTCCAGCAGACCCCAGCCCAGCCTGGAGACCCTGAGAGCCTGGAGAGAACCCTGGCTCGTCACTGGGGAGACTCCATGGGAAGGCAGAATTCTGTGGGGGGTTGGGATCCTGCCTCCCCCACTGACTAGCTGTGTGACCTTGGGCAACTCACCTGACCTCTCTAAGCCTTCGTTTTCTCCTGTGTCAAAAAGGACTAATTAAGACATTTACATGCATTGAGGGTCTCCCACACGCCAGACACTGTGCTGAGTGCTTTACGTGTGTTACTTCACTTACACCTCACATCAGCCCTATCAGGTAGGTACCGTTTTTATCCCCATCTGTCAGGCCCAGAGAGGTTAAGTCACTTGCCCGAGCTCACATGGCTTGTAAACAGATCGGCACCCGGCAGCCTGGCTCCAGAGCCCACACCCGTAACTCCTCTGCCAGGAGTCCCCCGGTGAATCCCGGCACCGTGGGGTCGCAGAGCTCTACCTTCAGGTGCTTATGAGTATGTAGAACACTCAGGCCTCCCCTGGCTCCTGAAAGACCCCCTGCGTGCTTGCTTTTCCAGCAGTAACGACTTTCTTGTGCTGTGTGCCTACAGAGGTGGAAGCAACGGGGGACACGGACAGACTCACGCCCGATGGGCTGAAAGCACTGATACAAAAGTCAGAGCTGCTTGCGCTGACGGAGAGCCTTACCCCCGACCAGACAGTGGCGTTCTGGATGTCCGAGTCAGAGATGGAGGCGATGGACCTGGAGCCAGGGGTCGGGGTACGGCTGAAAACTCGAGGCGATGGCCCCTTCCTGGGTGAGCATGTCCCCGTGGCCTGAAGAGGCTCCTGGCCTCCTGTCTGAGGCTCCTCTACCCCTCCTGCTTAGAACGCATGGGAGCAGGCCAGGTCTGCTTAGTCCTGAGATTTAGTCCTAAGTCTCTGGACAAGTGCCCTGGGGCCAACAGCCTAGACACTCTGGATCCTGGGGTGCCACCCAGTCCCGTGGTTCCTGTGGGTGATGTCTCCTATCTAGTGCCTCGGGGATCACACTCAGGGCCTCCCTGAGGGCACCCAGGTCTGAGAGAACAGTGGTTTAACCCAGGCCTCAGAGACCCCAGCAGAACAGGCCAGCCCTCCCAAAATAGGGAGATGGGCCATTCAACTTCTTCCCTCCTTTCAGAGTCATTAGCCAAACTTGAGGCTGGAACAGTGACCAAGTGTAATTTTGCTGGTGATGGAAAGACAGGGGCATCCTGGACAGACAACATCATGGCTCAGAAGTCTTCGGAGAGAGCCACAGCGGAGACCCGAGAGCAGGGGGACGGGGCGGAGGACGAGGAGTGGGTAGGTCAAGAGAGATGACTGTGGGCCCGGCATTGGTACAGTTTACCTCTCGGCAGGAGTTTTGTCTGCACGGACTGAGGTTGGGTGTAGGACAAGAACGCATCAGCACACATTTCACACCCCCATTTCACACCCCCAGCTGTGGTGGAATTCCACGGGATTCCTGAGTGTGTGTTAGCCTCAGGAAAGTTCTTTTCAAGGAATGAACGGTGACCACTTGAGACCTTTCTTTTTGGTGGGTCTGAGCTGTGCCAATCTACAAGAAAGTCCCAAAGATTGATAAAAGCAAGGGATGGAAAGAATGGACTATGGAGGGGAACCTGTGAAACCTGATGCCGTTAAATCTCCAAACATTTTCACTTCCAGTGAATACATTAGCCATGTTGTGGCAGCTGAGCTGAATGAGCATTTCTTTTCCCCCTCCTTCGTTCTGGGCTCCCTGCCCAAAGTGGCTGGAAAATGGCTGGCTTGGTCCTCACTAGGTTGGGTATTTTTTTTTTTTTTTTTTGCCAAGGATCAGCCCCCTAGTTGATCTTTAGTCTATCCACGGTCGATGTGTTTTTCTGAAGCGTATTTCACCCGAAGATTTGAATTGATGTCAAAAGGCCCCAAATTGAACATTTAAAACAAAGTCACAGAAGAATGGGCTATTTACCTGGGTGATGCGGATAATGATACTTGCCAGAGAAAGCAGGGCAGAAAGAGTGGAGGGTCTGGAGTCCCCTCAGAATGAAAACCAATTAGAGCCACCAGACCCAATCCCTGGGCCCGCTCAAATGAGGTGAAGCCAAGAAAGGTGGCTGAGGGTTCCACTGGTACCCCTCAAGGGAACCCTTGTTTGTCTGATGACTTGTAGGAGACTTTTATGAAATGCGCTCTGTTCATACCTCTTTACTTAACCCCGAGGACGACTGAGGCGAGTGGGAGTGAAGCGCCTCCCGGGCCTACCAGCACTGCTGAGAATCTCTTCCATCAACATCGACTCTGGAGTTCGAGGGAGCGGTCCGCCAAGCCTTCCCTGGTTCTTCCTACAGCTGCCATGGAATGCTCTTGGAATAAGCAGTGCTAAAATCAAATCCAAGACGGTGACATGAACAGTGGCGCCCCATGCTGTGGCTCATGGAGGGGCCCTCCCTCGATGTGCGTCTAGATCTTCTAGATGTTTCCATGGTGGCCCTTGCCCTTAAATGGCAGCCTTGTTTCTGGAAGCAGTCAGTGGAACCAAACTTGGTCTTTGTGTAGACTTGGGGAATGTCCCTCATCTGCATGCAGAGTGGCTCAGGGGTCCCTTCCTCTGCCCTCGTATTTTCTCCTATACCTTCCACGCCTGCTCCCCCGCCCCCCCCCCCCCGGTCCAGTGCTCTGAGTTATAGTCTTTGCTCTCCTGTTCAAACCTCCTTGTCCCCTCTGTGCCCTTTTCCTCCCCTAGAGCTGCCAATTCTTTATTCCTCCTCTGGTTCTCTGCCACACTGGGGGGTTGCTGTCTCCTGACCTCCCTGGCTGCTTTGCTGGGGATGCTGTTCTCAGGGAGGCCTAGAGTCTTCACAGGTGTGGCTGGCTGGTCCCCACCTTTCAGGTTCACCCTGCCAGGCCACATTTTGGTAACACCTTTTCCGCTATTGTTCTGTACTTTGAGAACTTTTTATGAGTGAGTAAATCTTCAGAAAAGGATTCCTCTGCATTGACCGGGTTATGTCAGGTATTAACGGTCTTCCAGCTGAGCAGTGATCCTGTAAGAAGGAAGCCATGTCTTTTTGATCATGAACATCGCCTTGCTGGGTAGCGCGCCCGCACTCAGATCCAGGACGGCTTGTGGAGTTGAAATCCACGTGTCCTAAGAATGGGGCAGAGACTTGGTGGCATTTGGATCCTGCTGGCCTCAGGGACAAGAGAGGGTGGTGGTGAACTAACAAGTGTTGAGCCCCCTAATGTATCGAACACGGCACTAGATGCCTTCCATGATGATAATCATAGCCACTGACTGTCGAGTGCTTCCTGGTGCTAGCTAGCGTACCTATCCCCTGCTTTTCAAAAGTTATATTAGGACACCTGACGTTCATGAAAGACCTACCTCAGTACCTGTTTTTTTCTAACCAAAAGAAATCTGAGTTTTTATGAAAATAAGGCAAAAAAAAAAAAATGAAAATAGCGTTCAGCATTTGTTTCGCAGGGAGCCATTATAGAGGCCGCACACCCCAAGTAGTGAGAGCGACCCCACCAGTCTCCTCTCCTGGGAACATCTATGCTTTACTTCAGTTGATTTCATGTGTGTGTCAGCAAGATGTACCCAGAAAAGCCTAAGAAAACGCTAAAAAATTTTTCCATATAAATGAATGGTGATTGCTTCCTCGCTGTTTCTCATTTCAGTTTACAAAAGGTTTCGTAGGAATGCTGTACTTTTTGGATAGTAGGGGAAACTTGTACTTGCTAAGCACTTGCACTATCTTACTTCACTGTCACAGCAATCCCGTGAGGTATGTGTGATTATTATTCCCAATTTTTTCCATATGATTCCGAAGCTTAGAGGCTCCATCTATAGTATATAGAGGAAAGAGGAATTTCAACCCAGGCAGTCAGATTTCAAACTCTGTATTCTTTACTGGGTTATTCTGCTTCCACATGTACACTACAGGGAAGAAAAGGGGCTTCAGAAAGTTTAAGGCTACTTGCCCAGATTCACAGCTGCTAAGTGGAACAGCCAGCATTTAAATCCAGGGCTGTCGAAAGCAAAGCTTATGTTCTTCCCCCGTCCTTTGCCTCCTTGGCCTACAGAAGGACCTTGGACATGGGGGCCAGAGGAGTCCTGGCTCTGTGAAATATGGTTCTATTCTTAGACTTTAGGGAACTTGCCTAAACCCTTGACTGCTGGTCTGCCCAGGCTGAAATCAGTTCTATTGGTATTAGCAGTTGAGCAGATAATATTACGCTTCCAGAATTTATTACTATGGTTCCAATTTACATTTACCTTCTTGCATATTTGAGCCTGGGCTTGACAATATGGCTGTGAGGCTTGGGATTCACACTTCAGTGAGGCCACCTGAAGTCACAGGTCACTGGTCTGCTCACGATCTCTTCTGTTCTTGTTGCCCTTTTCTTAGTTCAGACCCTTGTGACCTCTCACCTTGACTGTTATAATAGCTGCCTCCCTGGTGTCCTGTGTCTGAATGGGGCTGGCTGGGTGTTGAGCGTGCTGGGGCCTCAACCATGGGGGTGGCCAGGGAAGTGGTTAAGCAGCAGGAGGATGGGGGATATTGACTAGAATAGAGACACAGGGTGAGGGCGTCCTGCTGCCCATAGCACTGTGGCCAAAGGGTATGGCAAGGTCATATAGGCAGGCCACCATTCCAAAAAAGGAGGTCCGGTGTGTCAGTGGGGAAAACCCTGGGCAACAAATGGGCTTAGTGTCTTGGGTGGGCGGGGAAGAGATGAAGGAAGGGAGGGAGGGAGAGAGAGAGGAAAGAAGGATGGAAGGGAGGGAGGGAGAGATGGAGGGAGAAAGAAAGGAAGGAAAAGGCCTTTGTGGCTGGAGCTCAGAGAATAGGTGGAGGTAGAGGTTGTTTGAGATGATGCAGGAAATCAGGCATGACATTTTTAGCATGTTAAGTATTTTAGGACTTTATCCTTAACTTCCTGGAAGCCAGTGATTCTGGGGAGAGTGATACGATTTGATTTGTTTCTATCAAAGATCACTTGACTGCAGAGAAACTGAAGGCAACGAGCCCAACTGGAAGACTGCTTTAATTGTCAGAGTGAGAGGCTAGAGTAGTTTGGTGTATAGCGACGGGAGTGGAGATGGAAAGAAATCCAGGTAGATGGAGGAGGAAAGGGACTCCCCAGCAAGACAAGAGCACCTGAAAAGCCATGGAGGTGGGGGAGGGGCCCGCTCCTGGAATATACAAATTGTGTACGTGATTGTTATTATACCATACCTACACATAAAATTTGATAATCCTTTTTCAATTAATGTTATATAATCACTTTCCATATTGCTACACAGTCTTCATAACCATTGTTTAAGATTTACTACCATTTAATAGCTCTATCATTGTCCAATTTTTGGATAATTAATTGATTCCTACTTAGAGCTAATTTAATTAACATGTCAGTAAGTGTTTTAGATTATATAGTTCCCTAAATCTCACCCATACAGCCTCCCTGCCCTGCCCCCCCCACGCCCCCCCCCCCCCCCCCCCCCGTTCCCCACTCCTACCCCCCTACCGTATTTTTGTATTTTGAGGTTATTTCTTTAGGGACAGATTCCCAGGAGTCAGATTACTGGGAATCTAGGAGTTTTTTGTAAAAGTTTTTTTAGATTGTCAAATTGCTTCCCAAAAGTGTTGTTCTAAATTATAATTTTACCAGCACTGTAGGAGAGGACCATTTTCATGCTACCCTTGCCAGAATTGGGTGTAATAACATTTAAAAAATGATATTTGAGGGGCGCCTGGGTGGCTCAGTGGTTAAGCGTCTGCCTGCGGCTCAGGTCATGCTCCCAGGGTCCTGGGATCGAGCCCCGCATCGGGCTCCCTGCTCCGCGGGAAGCCTGCTTCTCCCTCTCCCACTTCCCCTGCTTGTGTTCCCTCTCTTGCTGTGTCTCTCTCTGTCAGATAAATAAATAAAATCTTTAAAATAAAATAAAATAAAATAAAAAATGATATTTGATAAGGTAAAAACAATACTTTAAAGTTAATACTTTGTGATTAGCCTTTCCCCTCGATTAATAGTGAGCTTAAACATTTTTCCATGTTCATTACCTAGATATATTTCCTCTTTGCTTACTCAGTTTCTTTGCCTATTTATATACTGAAGGTGGAGGTCTTTTCGGCTATTTAAATTTTAAACATAACCATTTACCATATTTTAACAACTTTTCTGTTTTTAAAAAATTGATTTTCTTACAAACATAAAATCTTTATATAGATATATCTGTTGACTTTTTGTGATTTTTATTGCTTCTAAACTTATATTCTCCTTTCAGATGTTACTCAGTTTCAATTCTTCCATTTTGGTTATTACCTGGTTTTACATTTAAGTCCTTAATCCACTCCGCCTTTAATTTGTGAAAGGGTAGGAAGTGAGATAACTAAATAGCTTATTTTCAAATTGCTAACCAGTTATCCCAACATATTTATTGGATTCCTTCCCACTCTCAAGTTATGATGGCTCCTACATCACATACTAAAGTTATTTTATACTTAAATTATTATTTTATTTCAATAAGTCTCCCTGTAGTAACAATTTGAACTATCATAGTAGGTTTTAATAGTTGGTAGAGCTAAGTCCCCCTCATTATTCTTCTGTTTTAGAATTTTCTTTGCTATTTCTCCTCAACATTTGAAACATTTTGTCAAGTTTCAGTGCATATTTATTGACTTTGGATTTTTTTTTTTAAGTATGCTCCACACCCAGGGTGGAGCCCAACGCAGGGCTTGAACTCACGACCCTGAGATCAAGACCTGAGCTGAGATCAAGAGTCCAATGCTTGCTCCTTGGGAGTCTGCTTCTCTCTCTCTCTCTCTCTCTGTCTCTCATGAATAAATAAATAAAATCTTTAAAAAAAAAAAAAAAGGGTGCCTGGGTGGCTCAGATGGTTAAGCGTCTGCCTTCGGCTCAGGTCATGATCCCAGGGTCCTGGGATCGAGTCCCGCATCGGGCTCCCTGCTCCTTGGGAGCCTGCTTCTCTCTCTCTCTCTCTCTGTCTCTCATGAATAAATAAATAAAATCTTTAAAAAAAAAAAAAAAGAGTCCAATGCTTAACCCTTTAACCCTTTGTTTTTTTTAAGTTAAAAAAAATCTGGCACCAAGAGTAATACATATTTATTTTAGAAAATTCAAAAAATGAAAAACACCGAATTTCACTGCTGTTTGTTAAATCGCTTATGTACTAAATTATATGCCATGTGTTGTGCCAAGTGCTTACAAACAGGAACTAATTTTGTGTTTAACCATCTCAGTGGAATAATTTTTTTCAAGTAGAAAAAAACCCTAGTTTTATAGTAAAGGAAACATCCCATGCCTGTTTTACAGATGAAGGCATTTGCCCAAAATACCCGGGTGGTCAACAGAGCCAGGGTTTTAACGAGGGCACTGTTGTTACAAGGGCCCGTGCTGAACACTTGGTGATGCTGTCATTCCATCAGACATGATGATTATCCATATTTTGGTGTATCTACTTACAGTCTTTTGCCAAGTGGGACATCCATGTACATACCTTGTGTGATCTTTTCACTTACAGATATGCCATGAACACTGACCTGTACCATATACCTTTCACAGTATTATTTTTCATGACCATTTAATATTCCTCATGTGCCTGCGGAACAAGGCATTTAACAAATAACTCGTTTCAGAATAATTTGTTTCCCATTTTTCCCTGAAGTTAACACTGCTGAGACGTAAGTTCTTTTTTTTTTTTTTTTTTAGATTTTATTTATTTGTCAGAAAGAGAGAGTACAAGCAGGGAGAGGAGCAGACAGGGAGAGAGGGAGAAGCAGGCTCCCCGCTGAGCAAGGAGACCGAGATGGGACTCGATCCCAGGGCCCTGGGATCATGACCTGAACCGAAGGTACAGGCTTAACCGACTGAGCCAGCCATGTTCCCTGAGATGTATATTCATTTTTTTTTTTTTTAAAGATTTTATTTATTCATTTGAGAGAGAGAATGGGAGAGAGAGCACGAGAGGGGTGAAGGTCAGAGGGAGAAGCAGGCTTTCCGCCGAGCAGGGAGCCCGATGCCAGGCTCCATCCCAGGACCCTGGGATCATGACCTGAGCCGAAGGCAGTCGCTTAACCAACTGAGCCACCCGGGCGCCCTGAGATGTACATTCTTGAGGTTTTTCACACGTCCACAATTTTTTTATTATAAATTCTACAACTGGAAATACTGGGCCGAATGTTCTCTATATCTCAAAGGCTTTTGATGTCCACGGTCAGTCCTCTGGACAGGTGATTCCAACGCGTAGCTCTAGCTGCAATAAGGGTCCCCCTCACCCCCACTAAGTCATTAGAAGGAGAAACAAAACCTACCAATTTGGGATCGCCACGTGGATATGCATGGAAGAGTCCCTGATTCCACCTTCACTACCGACCACGGAGAAACGGCCCTTTTGCACGTAATTCACTGCAGCACTGTATGGAACACGGAAAAACGAAAACGAACCAAACGTCCCCTAAGCGGCCGGTGGCTAAATTAGCGGGCACCTCCACACTGCGGACCGTCCTGCAAGTGTGACGGGGAAGGCAGGGCTGTACGCTCTCGCGCGGACGGCGGGACAGAGAGGTCCCCGCCGCCCGGTCGCCTGGGAGCGGGGCTGCTTTCGGGAGCTTCGGCTGCGGGATCGGCTTTCCGATGTGCTCCGCCCTGGATTCTGCGGCAAGCGTTCCGTCTGGGCGAGCGGCGGAGGTCCGGGTTCGCGCCCTGGCCAGGCCCTGACTGGCAAGCCGATGCTGGCCGAGGTGTCGCCCCGGCCCGGCCCGACCCCCGCGAGCCCGCCGCCCACCCCGGAGCTTTCTCCTGGGGGGGCAGGGAAGCCGGACTCTTCGCGGCCGGGCCCTTGGGCGCGGGGGCACGTTTCCGCCGGCCTCGCTCCGCAGGGCACCCAGCGGAAGTGGCCGTGTTGTGACGGAAGGAAATGCTTTGTGGGAGCTGCCGGCGGTGGGAGAAACGTGGCCGGCAAAGATGATTCAAGCGATTCTGGTTTTCAACAACCACGGGAAGCCGCGGCTGGTCCGCTTCTACCAGCGTTTCGTGAGTGCGGCCCAGCTTCGTCGCGTCCCTTCGGAGCGCCCGCGCTCCCCCTTCCTTCCCTTCGGCCGCTCCGGCCGGCTGACCACCTCGGGCACCTTGCACCGGGCGTGACCCTCGCACTCTTCACCCTCCTTGCGGGACCCGGGCGGCTGTCGGGCCGTCTGTCCCACCCCCGCGCTCCCTCACCCCTTCCTGGACCCCTGCATCTCTCTGCCATTTGGTGACACTTCCCCTTGGGTCTCAGGGCTCGCTAAAGGACGGTGGGGTGTGCCCCTTTGAACACGCGACTGATTGAAGTCCTTTAATCTTGTCGGTCCTTAAGCGCGGTTGTAAGAGTAGGAAGACAGACACATGCCAGCTTATGAAAGTTTTTGCTTTGGCTAGAAGATCTGGAGAAGTGCTTTCTTGGGCTTATTTTGCTTCATTGCTGGCCGGGACTGCCCAGGCACTGGATACCCTTCCTCCTGTAGAGTTGAAGAAAGTCAGTTTAAAAGCGGGAAGCGATGAGAAATTATAAATGCTACCGCGTGAGGGCTCAATAAATGATAATATAAACTTGAGTTTCCCCAGAAACTCCTCTGGGAGAACACAAACATCATTATTTGTCTCTTGCCCTCCAGCGTTGTATTTCTTCGTGGCAAGGTTTCAAAATGTTACAGACATAGCTGGTGAAACGAAGAGGGTAAAGAGTCAGAAAACTCCTGTTCAGGCCTCAGCTCACCTTTTTTACCCTGTGTCTATTGACCTTGTGTTTTTCCTCCTTTTTTTTTTTTTTTTTTAAGATTCCATTTATTTATTCATGAGAGATAGAGAGAGAGAGAGGCAAAGGCAGAGGGAGAAGCAGGCTCCCCGCGGAGCGGGGAGCCCGATGCGGGACTCGATCCTAGGACCCTGGGATCATGACCTGAGCCGAAGGCAGACGCCTAACCGACTGAGCCACCCAGGCGTCCCTTTCCTCTTTTTTTTTTTTGGTCAAATAGATACGAACAAAATAATTTTACCTTTTTCGTGGAATTTTTTAAGCTAGATTACATTTTATTAAAAATTTTGAGATAAAACTTAACATTCAATAGAACCATTCAGTTTGTATTTGCATTTGTGTGTGTGAATTTTTTTTTTTTAGATGTTATTGAGAAATAAATCACATACATATAGTTCACCTATTTAAAGTATACAGTTCAGTGGATTTTAGTACATTCACAAAGTTGTGGAACCATACCCATGGTCGATTTTAGGACATTTCCATTTCCCCAAAAAGAAGCCCCTACCCATTAGGAATCATTCCCTATTTCCTCCTAACTCCCTCAGCCCTAGGCAACCACTAGTCTACTTTCTGTCTCCCTAAATTTTGCCTATTCTGGACATTTCATATAAATGGTATACAGTATGTGGTCTTTTATGACTGGCTTTTTCCACTTAATATGTTTTTAAGGTTAATCCAGCTTGTAGCATGTGTTAATTCTTCATTCCTCTTTATTGCCAAGTTATATTCCGTTGTGTGGATATACCATATTTTGATTGTCCATCAGTTGATGTTTCTACCTATGGCTCTTGTGGATAATGCTGCTGTGAACATTCATGTACAAGTTTTTATGTATACATATGTTTTCATTTCTCTAGGTTATAAACCTAGGAGTAGAACTGCTGGGTCATATGGTAACTTTATGGTGACCATTTTGAGGAATTGCCAACTGTTTTCCAAAGTGGCTGCACTGTTTTACATTCCCATCAGTAATGATAGGAGTTTCAATTTTTCCACCTCCCTATCAAAATTTGTTACTATCTTTTTGACTAGAAACACTTTAGTGGGTATAAAGTGGATTCTCATTATGGTTTTAATTTCCGTTCCCTAATGACTAATGATGTTGAACATCTTTGCATGTCCTTATTGGCCATTTGTAAACCTTCTTTGGAGAACATAGAATTTTTATAAGAACCACATTAGCTTGTGAGAGAAAGTTACTTTGAAAACCGCAGAGAACCAAAAACTATTGAGGGATTGTTAAAGTCATTGAGGCATGTAAGCAAGTGGTAGTTCACCTTTCTGTTGAAATTAGAAATAAGGGGCGCCTGGGTGGCTCAGATCATGATCCCAGAGTCCCGGGATGGAGCCTTGCCTATGGCTGGCTCACTGCTCCGCGGGGAATCTGCTTCTCCCTCCACCCCTCGTCCTGCTAGTGCGCTCTTTCTCAAATAAATAAACAAAATATTTCAAAAAGAGAGAAATTAGTTAGCTTCACTGTTTCATTACCACTTCCCCTATGACTGCTGCCGCCTCCCCCTAGGGTCAGATAAAAGGCTTTAGTTTGAAAGATGTTTTTATCAGGTTAAAAAGTGCTGATACTTAGCATGTTTTATATTTCCAAGTACACAGAGTTAATCCTTTACACATCCTGGCATCAGTGAGCTTTGTGTCTTTAAATGGAAACCAGGAAAATAGTAACTGATTGACTCAAACTTACAGTGACTAGTGATTAGCAGGTTTTCTTTTTTCTTTTTTTTATTAAGTTGGTTTATTTTTTTTTTAAGGATTTATTTATTTATT